TAGTTGTCTTTTAATTTCTCTAAAATACCCTTATTCAATGTAAGTTGTTATTACTATAAACTACCTTATTTAATATAGATGGTTAGTATTGAATATAACCTACCCCATTTAATACATTTAGATTTTTCAAAACATATTGATATATGAATAGCCAACTTTATTTAATATAAGGGTATTTTAGAAAAATAATAATCTAAATTTATTTTTTTAATAAAATTAATTATTTTTTCTTAAATTATATGAAAAAAAAAACTAGTACTATCAAAATAGAACGGAGGAAATACTACCTTGAAAGCACATGTTTGTTCTTCTTCTTTACCACGACGGGCCGACGGACGGACGCCAGCTTCGGAATATACGCTATCTGTATATAGAATCGATCATAACCCATTAAACCCTCCCTCGAAAAACCCAAAAAAAAAAAAAGAACCACCCTGCATTAACTAGCGTTCCTGTTCTGGGGAGTGGGTGGGTTGGGGTGGGGTGGGGGGGCGTATAATTAGGCTAAAGTCAATCAATATGGAGTAGTGCACAAATTCTCATTAATTACATGAATCGGTACACATGACCTGTAAACAATTTGCATCTACACCACTGATTAGCAAAACAATTAAAAAGTAAACGCCTTCCTTGTAATATTTTGAAGCATATGATATGATATCCCAAATAATAATTGAATGATCCGGCTTGATTTGTTCTGCCCTGTTTGTTAACTGGCTTCATTTATTTGGCTGTCATCGACAAGAGCAGTGCTACTAGTAGTATTTTAATATGGGTCCTCAATTACTCTCTCTCTCTTTTTTTTTTCTTTTTTTTTTTTTAGATTTTTGTGCAACAACAGCTGGGGTGCTTCCTTTGTAGTTTGTCCTTGTTCCTCTAATTAATTAATCTCTTTTTTTTTTTTTTTCAGATTTTGAGCAGTGCTACGAGGCAATGTCCCTCCAGCCCTATAAAACGACAAAATTTAACATTCTAAGGCACCCAATTTAAAAATCAGGCATGTCCCTGTTTTGGATGATTAAAATTGTTGGCCCAAGTTTAATAATACTGCGTGATGAATATACAAAAAGTTTCCGATTGGCATCGCTTTGCCAAAAACATTTTTTTTTTGATCATAATAAAAAATAAAATAAATATATTGAAGTTGGTAAAAAAATGTTTTTATTTGTTTTGGTGAAAAGGTAGAATGTGTGATAACCTAGAGTCCTACGCCAAAAGCATTTTTGCTCCCTATAGTGCCGGACTTTTTTTAACTTTTAGATTCAGGATAGAATTAGAGACTGTAGAGGGTGTATCAATTACTATTGCCCCTTTTTGTTTGGAAGGCCGACGAGACCCTTTTTGCCCAGCTCACGGTCCATTATTTGTTGATTTAGGAGACGGAAAAAAAGAAGAAGAAGAAAAACACCGACTAGTATTTACTTTGCAGATTTACAGTCTGACAAGTGACAACTAACAGCCAACAAGAAGAAGCGATGCATGCAGACAGAGATTCATGTGACAAAAAAGTTAATGCAGTCGATGGTTCGCAATGCCTGACAAGCAGAACAAATAGATAATCGTCCACTGTTACTGCCTTCAGCTCAGCTCATTCATTAAGGAGGAGGAGGAGGAGGAGTTAGCTTAGGCTTAGGCTTAGCTAGGGACACAAAATGGAAAAAAAAAATTTTTTTTTTTTGAAAAAAATGCTTTTTTAATTGTGTTAATTGCGGGCATATAATATAATTGATGCCTATTGGAAAGTGCTCTCAAGGCCGGTAATTATTTATAGCAAAGCAGAAGTTAGTTAAATTAATCCTCAATGTCTCCTGCCAATTTATGAGCTGGCTGGCTTATGATGAATAGGATTTTTTGTCTGGACGGTTGTGTATTAGAGCACCACGGGGCAGAGACTATTCCGTATTCTCTGCATGATTATAGATTCATGCCTCATCAGCGCCCCATTAAACTCCCTTCTAATCCATATCTCACTAGTTGTGTTGAAGAATAATTATTAGCTCATGATCATCTAATAAAGTATGTTGATCCTACCTGCCATCTAATTGTGATAAGGGCCATTCATTATTCAAAGCAACCTCCCCATTTTTTGCCTGATGGAATATTATACTATAGCTCCTATACTACCCACGTCCCACAACACACAGCAGATAAATTAATTAGATAATAGAGAGGAGAGGATATATATATATATATATATGGTCCGCATTTTTGCCCAGAAAAAAAAAAAAAAAAAAAAAGGACCACCGTATGGCTGTTGGTGACTGTTGGGAAAATTGACAGTCACTCCAGTCTTTACGATGCCGGAATACATAGAGCTGATGTGAGCTTAGCTTGCACAGTCGCAGAGGACAGTGCACCCTTTGGCTGGCGGACCAATCAGCTGTCAATCTATTTTTTCTTGCCATAAAAATGATTATCATTGTAAAATACATATACGCATAACCAGCAGGTCACATGTCTGCATGTGATCGTATATAGAACTGGGGACAAATCAAATATCTTGCAACTTCGACAAAGTAGAGAATGAGCTACGGTAAGTAAATTTGCATATAGCCACGGCCGCCAATTTTACTTGTTGATGATCAACGAACGTCGCTGGCACGCACATCAGTTGAGTTTATCCACTAAATGTCTTCGACAATGATCTTTCGCCCACAGCATGATCGATCGATCATGGCCTTAATTATGAAACGGCAGAAATCCACTAAATGTTTTGTATTGCTGCTGCTACTCGAAGCATGCATGGTAAAGTTTGTGGTTTCATAGTATATTTTTTAGGCTTTTTTGTTTTTTTTTTTAATTAAGAAAGAAAAAAAAGAAGAAGAAGAAGACAGGATCAGTCGGATCATACCTACATATATAGTATAAGGATATAGATGTGACCAGGAAGGCTAAACCCTCTTGCAAACTGCAAAGGCGGAGGGGAGGCATGATCACATGGGAGTACCCAATCATGATCGATGCAAATAAGACAATGGCAGAGGATTTGGTGGAACCACATAAATGTACAACTCATTTGTAGGTTTCTTGCCTGGGGGTTGGGTTATCCATCCCTCCCAACTTTTACTCAATTGCGCACCTTCTTTCTAAATTCCAATAACAAATTTACTATGCAAGGCACGAGTAATTAATAATCTGAATCGCGTAAAGTTGGTACCAGATAATCCATTAATAATGCGTAAAGTTCCCGGTGAAGGAGAGCTGTTTTCATGGGAACCCCCCCCCCCCCCCCCGCGGGGCGGCGGCGGCATTGAGAAATTTTGCTCTGAATTCAACAAGTATACTGCTACTTATTACTTACTGTAATATACTCCCTCCCTTTTTTTATAATTGACGTTTAAGAAATTTGCTCTTAAGTACTTTTATCTGTCGTTTTATTATTCCCATGCAGCATTAATTATTTTTTCACAATTTTACCCTTTTATCTCTCTTTTCATAATTGGTGGGAGTTAGTTTGCATTACTTTTGGCCTAGTAAAACAGCACCATTTAATATTCTAGTGAGAGAAAATATGGGTGAATTAAACAATTAATGAGGGTATAAAAGGAAAGTAGTGTATAGATTTAAACAATGAAAAACTTTTCTTAATTAGTGTGCAAAACCTTAAACGTCAGTTATAAAAAAAGGGAGGGAGTATATGTATACATGCCATCAATAGAGGTGGTTGTACAATTTGTTGTTACGTGTATTTTAAGGTGAATTAATTTCTTTTCTCCCAATTAAAAAAATATTTATTTTCCTTTTTTGGGTGAGTTAATCATTTTTTATTTACTAAGAATAGAATAAAAGCATAATCAGCGGAAGCGATGAAAGGCATGAATTAAATAAGTAGTAGTAGTAATAGTCGTGTAATTGAATGATGATGTCCATCCACGTCTAATTATTAGATCATTAAATGCAGAGGAGCATCCTGGTCTCTGCCGTTTTCACCGATCCCAGGCCCAACGCATTTAATACTCGTAACAACAAGACTACAATGGACTGGACTGAAACTATATCTGAAATCTTGGGGCCCAATTGATGGACATACCGTTTCATTAAACTTCAAATTGGGCTTCAGCTAAACATCAATCCTGTTTCTCCTTCGGACAAAATGGAAAAATAAATAAATATTGTACGGTGGTCGTACGTTGTGAAGTTTTGAATCAAGGCAGTCAGGCTCAAACGAGTCCTCAGCCCGCCCCGCCGTCACTGGATTATTTATTAAATCTAAATAATGTCAATGAGTCTCAGATCATCAATCATCATGTTCAAGCAGCTAACAGGTGAGGAATGACGCTGACGCAGCCTTTTCTTGGTTGGAACTTGGAACCAACAGTCAATGATCGATCTATTGAGGGCGAAGAAGGCGAGAGGAGTTTTGGGACGAAGGAACAAACACTCCTCCTGACGGGCAACCAACTTTGTCCGTCCAGACGTAGAATTGAAGCCGCATCAGAAATATATTTAACCACATGAATAAACGCTTAAACCAACAGGCACAGATTATCCGTCATATCCGCGACAGAAGAAAGAAGATGAAGATACAAAGCCCCCCAGATAGAAAACCAAAAAAGGCGCTAGCTTGCAGTTTCGACTGTACAATTACTGCAGAACGTAGTCAAGTAAAGAAATAGAATCAACACAATAATGGAAAAATCATCCCAGAAATGATAAGAGCGTAAAGGCGCGAAGAATCAGACACCTACACACCTACGTATATGCATACAGCAGCAGAACTTTGCCAGCAATCATAACTTTTTTCCTTCTTGTTCATGCCAAAGAGAAATAACCCCAGAATAAGTTAGTGAAGTAGCTCCACATGGGGGAGGAGGACGACAGCTTCTAGCAGTGAAACCGCTCACACAAACTAAATAAGGTTCGCTATACGTCAAAGTGAGCAGCAGACCTGCTAGAGACAGATGGGTACCGTTTCCGTATTTTAGGGAAAAGGGAGCTTTCATTGATGGAAATCTATTTCCTAAACTGATGCTGATAAGTATCTTCTCTCTCACCATTGATGACAACTCCACATGATTTAAACTAAGAGCTTATTGTGCAAGACACAGATAACACAATTGTTCAAAGTCGCAAGGGCATTTCTACGTTTGGAAGTCAAATTTTCCTACCTGCTGATCCATTCAATTCTGAAAATATAAATAGGAATATATGAACTAAAATATGCCACCCCAATGCAAGGCTGTAATCTCGCTTTCTCCAAAAAAATTTAACAAACCAGACATTCCAAACTTTATTTCCTTTTAGTCTCTCCCGCCAGCATGCCAAGTACCAATAGTCTAGCTCAAAAAGACGCGAATTCTTGACAACATCGAGCTTCAGGTTTCACACATGCAAAGCGCAGATTATTAAGTAGTTGTACCACTCAGCATGGAGACACTCGGACTTGTGCATTCCCTTCAGCTGAAGATATACAACCAGCTGAACTCCAAAGCAGTTAGAGATTATTAATATGTGGAATTGCAAAGGCCAAATCATATTAATTACAACAGCATGAGAGTAAGATCACACCAGGAGAGACGCCAATCTGTGACAGTCTGTAAAGGAATCCGGCAAACCATTTTCTCACCAATTTTCCATTTCCTCCACCAGAAACAAAATCACAGCTTCCATAAATCACCGCAACATGATTGGAAATCTGCCTGGGCTCAAGTTAGCAGAGCTCGGTGTTGGAAGCATAGCTGAAGGATGTTCAACAGCATGTACTTTATTTGGAAAAAGAATTGCTTTCGCATTACCAGAACAGAAGACAAGTGGTCAGGGTACATAACTTGTATCCTACATCATAGTCAATTAGCATAACAAGGCTAGTGGTCAGGGTACGCAACTCCTATCCTACAGTCAATTTGTATCCTACGTTGTGGAATGCTTTTTAACTCTAGTAGCCACTAGGCAGTGAGTGGAAACCAAGAAGGCAGCAAATAGTAACATGAATCATACCAAAATTGGTGTAATAACCTGCTTTAGCTAGTTTGATGCTGATGTTGCCCCATTGTCTACATCAAGAGAAAGGAGGCAAACCGAACATCACCATTAGAACTAATCAAGACGTACGAGCCTCCAAATGGGCCCTGGAAATACAGGTGAAGTGTCAATAATGCCTCAAAGACAGGAAGACCATGCTGGTAAACAGTGTGGAGGGAATCAAACTAAATATGCCAATGGATCCTAAACTACACAAGCGCTAAATGGAAGTTCTGAAGCATAAATCACGCCACAATCTATGGAAACATCACCCTTTTACAGCAAGATAATCTACTTGCTATGAAGTAAACTTCAAACTTTACACTAAACAAATTTTACTACCATCAAGCTCTTCAATACAAGCAGGAAGATCTGGCAAGAAAGAAATGAGCTGAAAAACAGGCCCTCCGTTCTAGAAATGCTTAACAAAAAGTATTTCAGTGGAACTTAGCGTAACTTTTTTTGTAATCAAAATCCAACCTGTCGAATAGAATCCTTTCATTGTTGTTACAATGTTCAGAAGCTATTAACAAAATGCAAAAGAAATTCTACATACAAGAGCAACAACAAATATGAAGGAAAACATACGATATCAGTTTTCTGTCAACTAACGTGGATGCCGGTTGCACTAGATGTTAAGTTCCTTAACTCCATCAAATGCTCATCATTTGATATATGAAGGGAAATACGAAGGTTTGTCATCAACGTTTCTTGTTCCCAACTTAAAGGTCCTAACGCATATAAAGCCCCCAGAGTGCAGCGATAGGCATGCAACTCTAACCTATGAATTTCCACAGCCAACTCCTCTTCACTGGGTTGTAAATAGTTATCTTCCTCTTTATTTAGCGGACAAACAGACTCAGCATCACTGGAATGATCGTCAGCATATCCAACAGGACATGCCAAGATCCTAGAAGGCCACTTAATGCGATTGTCCCAACCAATAGAACAGCTGCCAACAGAGCTCACATCATCATCCACATCATTACAATCTGAAGTTCTTGAATTTGAAAATTGTGCAACATCGATGATTCTTATCCGCCCTTCATCCGTTTGAGAGAAAATTGTAGTTTTATTGTTTAAAAGATAACATGTGTCCTTTTCTCCTGGCAATTTCTTTGGATGAGGATAATTTTCTACCTTCTCAGGCAACGGGGAAGGATCAGCAACAATCACTCGATGATGTCTACCACCTTTTTCGATGGCTCTAAACTTTCGAGCACTTTCAGGTGCTTTAGCTTGAGGGTAAACATTGTGAGACACTCTCTTTAGATTTTTCTTGGAAACTACATGTGATTCCTGGAAGTTGATGTTGTTTACAGTACCAACACTGTCCTTTTCTTCGTGGGAATCTAATTTTGCTTTTATCCCCTTAAAGGAGCCTGATATATAATCATATTTGAAACATGGCTGTTCACAGTATTTCTCTTCATCATAATTTCCAAAACCCTGTTTGAAGCAGAAAATACAAGGGATAGTTAATGAACATAGTCAAGCAAGGAGCTAGCATCTCACTACTAGATGCTGCACCAGTATCCAGGAAGATTGTATGACAAATGGCTGTCATACATTGACTGGGCTTACTATGTAAAAAATGAAAAAAAAAAAAAAACAAATATCAACAAGTCTGACATGCTATAACACAGACATGAACGCAAATCAGATTATACTTTGCAGTAGGTAGCACAAAACATACACATCTAGTTATGCAAAATCAAGAAAGAGATAGTTGATACAGGTTAACCAAATGAAACTTCCAAGAGTGTGATTAAACACCCACTAATAAAAAACTTGATTGAATAATAGATAAGATTTTAATGGAAGTACCTTTCCAACCACGATCCATTTCCCATCCATCCAAGATTGCCTCAGCCGGATATCAAACTTGTGAACCTTGAACTCATTCGAGGATCCGACAAGCCTGACCAAAAAGTGGTTTCCCTTTAAAACCTTTGAGACCGTAGCCATCTTCCAAGAGTAATTGTGCAACATCTCAACAACATCACCAGGCATCCAGCTCCGAGATACATGAACAACAGGAGGGCATGGCCTAATTGACTTCCTAGAGACTCTCTCAAATATTGCCGCATCCTTAGCTCCTATAATGCACCTGATGGTGTAATGGTGACCGTTGCCACATATTATCTGCCCACAACGCCAGGAGCCGGACGGCACCTCATCTTTACAAAATACTTCGACTTCGCTCCCTTTTTTGTATCTCATGATGTTAGCTTATTCTGATTCCAATGAGCCTTTTATCTAGTCAAGAAACCTGTTTTCCGTGAACAGGGAACTATAAGAATATGTGAAAAATTACAAGTTTCATAATAAACCATAAAACTAGCAATGAAATTTAGTAGTATTTTGGACAATCTGATGGATGTAGTCGCAATTCAAAACCCAAAAAAACAAAATAAAAGATAAGAGCTTTCTGCTCCGTTTTAGCAAACTGGACTTTGTAAAAACAAAATTCAACTGATCCTGAAGATATCCAGTATGGAGGGGGGAAAAAGGAAAGCTTTCAATTTGACAAAAACTGCAAGCATAAACTCAATTCCATCGGAAAGGAAGTACCATTATATGCAGATACATTTATAACAAATATAGCAAGAAATCATGTGGAATCATAATTCCAGTATGTACGCAATGGAGTATAAATACACAGAAATAGAAACACGTACGCACACAGACGTCTGCGTACAAGACAAAATGTACATACAAACACATACACCTTGCCAGATAGTTAAATGTTTGGAGCAGCCACCAGATAAATTAAACAGCGCCCCTGATAGAAGGGGGAAAAATTAGCATTAAACACTGAACAATCCAGAAAAATCAATGTTTTCCTATAATATCATAAAATTAGCCACCAGAATTAAAAAAAAAAAAAAAAGAAAGAAAGAAAACTCAGAAAGCAGAGAAGAAATTGAATCCAACGAGCAAGTCAGATAAGATTAAAGAAAATCAATAATACAAATTTTTTTAAAAAAAAAAATCAAAGAAGAAAAATAACAGATGAGTTGCAAACTTACCTTTCTTTAATCTGCAGCTTTGGGTTATCAATTGAGAAACATGGAGAGATAGAGAGAAATTTAGAGGCAGGGAGTGGATTGTTTGAAATTTGTTTTGGCCTTTTTTTAAAAAAAAAAAAAAATTCTGTTGATGTATTATTCTGTTCTTTTGTTTCTTGTGCGTCAGTTTTCTTTGTGTTTTATGAAAAAATACACTTTTATTATTTTTCTTGTTGAGAAATAATATACTAATACTAGTGAGTAGTGACATTAATTTTTATTTAATCTACGGTTTCGGCAAGAAAATCATGAGGAAACAAATAAAGAATATAATATTAACTTATATTGTTGTGGCCCGTGTATTGTTAGCCAAGCCACCATCTGCCAAAGAACAATTGCTCTGTTTAGGCGCAGATAGTATAGTAATTAGCTATATATATATTATGATTAATCTTTCTTATATTAACAGTATACACATTATATCAGCGTTGGATGAATGAATAATAACTATGCAAAATTTAAAATTGAAATTCAACTTTTACACACATATCATGCATCAAACGGTGATAATATATTATATACTGTCAATATATATAAGATTTATTCATATATATATATATATATATTCAAAACTTAGATGATTTCTTTTCTTTAATCTAATGCTATGCCAACCCAATCTCAGAATTCAGATTTTGAAAGGAGATTTCTTCCGCATTCAGAAGCATGGATGATCACCCTGAGGTTGTGATCTTTATGCCTACCATGTTATCAGGCGATGATGGTATAGTTTAATAGTTTTACGCATTGATGTATTTCGTGAAATTTCATTTAGTTAATTTTTCATGTATTAGTTTTCTCAATATATTAATTGCTACTCTAACAATGGATGTATCTGGTGCACGTCTTTTTCATTTTCAACAATGCCCTTGTCCATATCAAGCCAAAAAAATTATTTTTTTAATTTTATTTTTCTATCAGCTCGACCTTCTTTTACGTTTAACATATTTTGATTTCTTAATTGACCTTTTTTCAAAAAATATATATATATTTTGTACGTGTATAAGGTGTGTTATTTGCTGTTAGTAAAATAAGGCACAATGATCTAAAACTAATTTACTGGTAAATTTCTTTTTTGAGTTCAAGAAATTGAATCTTTTTATTTGTGTTGATTAATCCACAACTAGGGCTGCAAACGAGTCGAATCGAGTCGAGTTTTGAGATAATCGAGCCGAGTCTCGACTAAATTTTATCAAACTCGAACTCGAACTCAACGAGCCGGCAATTTTCAAGCTCGAGCTCGACTCGAATCAAATCGAGCCGAGCTCGAGCTTGAAAAAAATAAAAAATAATTATTTTATTTTTAAAAAAATAAATAAAATAATATTTTTTTCTTAATAAATAATAAAATATTAAGAATATATACGTAATTTAACCATGAAAATAAAAAATAAAAAATTATATATAATATACGTAATTTTATTATTAAATAAAAATAAAATATATATATATATATATATATATATATATATATATATATATATATATATATATATACTCAAGTTCGCGAGCTAACGAACTTAATATTCTAAACTCGACTATAACCGCTCGCGAGCGGCTCGATTTGTTTGCAGCCCTATCCGCAACACATGAAGATATTAAGGGTTGATAGTTGTTTTTTTTTTTTTTTAAATATAGTTGTGACAGTGACACTGGCATCCATTTAACTTGTATACTTTAGTCAAAACTCAAAAGTATATCGAATAATTTAGGATTAACACTGAAAATAGATAAATCGCAACTTTATTGACCAGCCACGACTTTCTTTTCTTTTTCTTTTTCTTTTTGTCAATCAATAAATAGTAGGTCTCTCTTTAATTTTTCTTGCTTTGCAGTTTCTCTTGTATGGCCAAGGATGTTCTTTATCCCCCCCCCCCCCTTTTTTTTTGTTAGTTTGTTAGAAGTCAAGTCAACTTTTATAGGACAAGGGGCACAAACAGTTGCACCTGCAACCATTTGTGCTGGTTTGTGCATTTTCCAATGACGTATAACATTTTTTGCACATCGCGTAATTTTTTTTACACATGGAGTAACTTTTGAACAATTTTTTGTAGGCCCCACACATGGCGTGAAAATCAAGTTACATGCTGTAATTTGAGCCACACAAATTTTTGAGACCATATCGTGACCGTGAACCTTCAGGAACGGTTGTTTCTGACAACCGTTCCTGCCCTATTTCCACTTTTATATGAGTTGCCAACCATTGTGGAACGTTAATTTTGTTAATACAAGAGTTTCCAAATTAGCATCTTGTTTATTATGCAAAATGCAAAATGTTATAATTATTACACATTTCTACATATTTTAAGTACAAAAAATGAAGAAGTTCCGTATTGATTATTTTCTAATAACGAAAATACTAGCCAATTTTTCCGTGGCTTTTTGGCTACACAAATAGAGTTTTTATTTTCTTGCATCATTTTCTTGTTAACCAAACACATGTGGCAAAAATTTGTTTCCTTTTTCCTTTACCTCATTTCACTTCACTTTTTATACGATAAACTTTCTTACACGACTTTTCTGTTAAACAAACAGAGCCTAAAAGAAATTATGATCAGGTGATAGCCATAGACGAATGAAGAATCAAAGAGTTGTAAAGTCTACCATTATGAGAAGAAAAAGGGAAAAACAAAAGAAAGATGAAAAAGGAGTTGCGGAGTCTAAACAGCCGAATTGTGAAAAAAAAATAATGCTTGTTTAAATTGAGAATGGATAGTTCATTGATGATACAAATTATGTTTCTAGTTGAAATAATGGTCGATTTGATATTATGAAATAGAAATTTGACGGTCAATTATTGGACTCCTAAAAAAAAATTGACCACATTTAGAAGTTCAAAGGGATGCGTTCACCTTTTTTAATGAGTAGACATTTTATAAGATATAAGGTTGATTTATTAGAAGAGGTTTAGATTGGATGGCGGAATGAGAAAGATCGTAAATAGTAGATCTTGAACAAAAATCTCCCACTACAAAAAAAAAAAAAAAAAAAAAAAAAATCATTTAACCAGGATAGCACGAAAATGTGCAAACCTCACCCCGCATCCTTGCTTATTAATTCCAGAACGACTACTTAATTAGCTTTTCGAGTGACGAGGCGCCATCGTCCTGCATTCGTCCTTTCCTAAATTCATTTTCAAGATCGAGATCCCCTTTTTATTCCCGGCTTGAGCAATAAAATTTGAGTGGTTAATAACAGTTGATTAATAACTGCGACGACTCTTGAGATGGTGATCCCAGCAAAAAGTACAAAATGGTTTTCCTTATCGATGACAGGTAATCCGTGGCTGAAGATAACAAAATTAAGAATAGACTGATATGACAGGTAACGTGACAGCTAAACCAGATGCTAAGAAATCTGTATTCTCCGCGGCGCTAACCAATGTTAGGAAACGACTACCCGCTTAGTTCCTGATCCAGAACCTTTGCCAGTGGCCCAACCCAACTGAAAAGAGAAGTGGTTTTGGAGATTAAACTAGTAAACTGTTCCAGAGAGCGACTTCAGCACCTCTAGCTCAGGAATTTAACCGATTAAGAGCTTCCCTCCATCCTAAATTTTTTGACGAGTAGGCAGTAAAATTAATCCGTTTGGATTGACCATTTTGCTAAAAAAAAAAAAACAAGTTTTTCATATACAATGTTACAATAATATACAAATCAAAATAATTTCAAAAACACAAAAAAAAACAACCTCAAAAACATCATCAAAAACACCAAAAACAACCTTAAAAAATAACCCTTATTTACAGTAAAATTTTTTTACCTATATTGCTACAATAAAATATTTCAAAAAGCACCCCCAAAAACAGCTAACATCTACCCGAAAAAGCAAAAAAAAAAAAAAAAAAAAAAAAAAATCTTACATCGGATTATCTTAAATTTGGAAAAAACTTGCACAACATTAACATCTACACAGATGACACCAATCAAAAGTTTTTTTTTTTTTCTTATCAGCATCTTCACTAGTCTTTTTCAGTTTTTTGGACGCTACGGCAAGTGGCATAGCCGTATATGTCATTAGCTTTCATATCCCTCTGTCTCGAATATGTACTTTTATCTTTCTACATTTTGTTATACGTAGTTTGCTTTGTGTTAAGCTGAGGGCCAGAATCTGCAATGTCTTTTGGTGCCCTCTAAAGCCCTCCGTCGTCTTTGATTGATCAGCATAAGAGTTTCAAATTTAGACTTTCAGCAAGACTAGAATGTCAATCAGCGTATAACACGAAGAAAACAACCAGCATCATCCTAATTAATGACGTCTTCCCGCACTCGGCTTCGGCTCAACTTCATGACTGTACTTACTTTCTTATTTGTCGCGCTTCTTGAAATAACTGAAACAGCAAAGGTCACCGTTACAAAAACTTTTGCCTTTCGAGCTGGAGGTAAATCAAACACGCTAAACAACTAATGAACTCCACCCGGAATTGTAACCGGTTTGGAGAAGAACCAAAGAATTAGAGCACAGAGTGACAAGACTAGCGGGATGAGATGTACTGCTTTCTCTCCTGACGACTTAGGAGGAGGGATTTCTTTCTTGGTTGCATCCAACCTGGTCGGGAGATGATCAGCAGCAATCAGCATTTTTGGCACTGGAGGGCCCTTTGCAGCCGGTGATATGTTCACCATATACTCATCGGAGACTCGCGAGACAGTCGCAGTTCTATACATTTTCTCAGGGCCGGTACGCAGTAACGCGACAATGGCTGGCGGCATACACAAAATTTTTGGGAAGGTCTAAAGAATAACAAGATGCACACACGCAGGAGGAGTGCTGGAGGTCCGTGCGTTTATAGTACCGGGGAATCGTAAAGAGTGGAAAGATGCCAAGAAACTACTTAGAATCCCATTGCTTTCGAACTCCTCAAAAGAAAGAAAGACAGAACGAGCCATCACTCCGGTCCCTGAACTTATGGGCTCCTTTTGACTTTTGAAGGTTGCCAAATTTTCGAGAGAATCAAGCTTGCAACGTAATTAAATGAAAGAGTGTGCACGTGATCTATACGTCTAAATTAATTTGTTACCACATGCTTGATGCCCTGTAATCACTCTGATTTAAACCCATGACATGAACTACGTACGCAAAGGGAAGGGACTGATGTCACCCGTTCAACCCAGCGGCCTTGGTCTTCAGCTTCGGGCGGATAAACCAGGTCTGAATTTTCCCCTGTAACTCTTCCTCTTTTCTGGGTGCATTTTCCTTTTCTTTCTGTATAACATTTATTCTATTTTATTGGTTGTTGTTGTTGTCGTAGGGGTGAAGGGATGTGGTGTTATTTTGGTTTTGGAACCAACGAGACAGAATGTGGTTGCTTGCCTGTCAAAAAATCAACACGTTTCCTGTTTCAGACGCAGACCTCTCAAAATCACTACTGCTGGATAGCAAACGTAGCTGAAATGAAAAAGATGAAACATAGCTACTGAATAAGAAACCCAGGAAGATGGGCTATCTCCGATTAGACGATAAAGTTTTTGGATGCCGTGTCCCTCAGGCACTAGATTACAGTGGTATTAATTGCAAAAGTGGCGGTATCCAGTCTCTATATGCCCCCTTGGGTCGTTTTTCACTCTCACCCAAGACCCCAACCCCAGCCAGAAGTTGCCCGGGAGGAAGAAAGGGGGGAAAAGAAGAGCAGGTGTATCTTAAATTAAAACCAAACTAACAAAATTCAAGGCTCTCACAGAGAAAACCCAAGGTGCAAACGACCCCAAAATGAAAATACAACTGAAATGCATGAGATCCAGAGAAGATGCACTTGGATTCCGAAGTCGTCCACTCTTTGTATGCAAGCGCTGGAATAGACGACCACACCACACAAAATTGTCCGATACACCCTGAGAAAGCTTCGCAAGATTCTCATGCGTACCAGAGATTTACTTTGACTTGCCAGCTTGGATCAAAGAAAAAGAAACATTCTATTAAGAAACCAACCACAAGCAATTCCTAGTTGAAAAATGATGAAACAGTTCCACAACCTGAAACATTCAAATGAAACAAGTTACACCGGCTGCTTTCAATCGAATGGGTCAGTATGGAATCAAATAAACTCTTATTCCAATTTAGAAAAGGTTCCAGACAAAGACTATGCAGGAGGCTGCCCCAGCGCCATACGTATCATCCTGTAGATGCAGTTATGGGATACAAAATGTTGATAAGAGGCTCAACTAAGCTGCGCCCATGCTAAAAATACAATTATGTAATAGATTCATAAGTTTGTCCATATAAGCTTACCACTGACTGTTGGCAATATGCATAATACATCTTGTCAAGCCAAGCAATCAGTCGTAATAGTAGTATTTGTACAACCGTTACTTATTAGTTAAATAAATTAGTCTACATTTTTCCCTCCTTGGATTAAAATCATCGCATTTTTTTTCTCTCTTTTTTCTTTTCCGCTGTATTTACATACTACTAAATATCCATAAAATCTGCTATATAAGAGGCCGAAAAAAGCCTTCCAGCTTTTCATTCTGCATATAAGAAATGACAATTGGACACCAACAAAAAAGATAGCGTATTGACAAACATTGAAGAACGTTAACATCAGTGCTTCTAAAAACTTGACAAGTAATTATCATCTCAAATCCTATGCATGGATAAAAGAAAATTCTTGTTTGGCTAATCTGTAAGCAGATGTATGACATAAATTTCACCTTGGCAAGTTATCAGCGACCCTGCTTCTCATTCGATGTAAAATTTATTTCTGAAAGGGGGAAGCAATTTCCCAGAAGAATATCTTATCTCACAGCCAAATTCAATCTCCATTAATCGATGATTTTCTTGAGAGCGATTCATGGAAACATGGATGATTAATTCATCGTCTTGGCCAACGCTAAGAGGAGGATGTATGAGGAACACCTGACCAAAAAGATAGGGTGATTGGAACCTCTAATAACAGTTTCAAAACCCAGACAGACACCAATATTGTAACAGCATTAAGAACTCTGTAGCCAACAAATTAGAAGGACAATAAGGCAATATAGAAAAAACAGGAACACAAATTTTGCAAATTAAAATAACTTTCTATTGTTCCTGATATTCACTGTGTGACTCATTGCAAAGCAAGTGAAAAGCAGCTTTTTGGAACCTAACAATTACTAAAATACAAAATTTTGGAAAGCAACTTTATGACATAACAGAAAGAACTCACTACGCATCATATAAAACTTACAAAGATGGAAACGCAGAGACAAACCCTCTTGGTATGTCATGGACCATGGAAATGATAACAGTAAACTGCACTGGATATTTGCCCGAGGTTCATTGAGTACAAATACTAAAAACTCAAGCAGATACATAGAGCTTGAAAAGATGACACTAAAGAAGAAAAGAAACGCTAACATCATGGTTGCCTTGAGGGATCTCAATGGAGAAAGGATGAAATTAAACTCGAGATTATTTGATATGAAAACCAGAGCATAAACTCCATTCTACTTCATTTCCAACTACAAAATGTTAGCCAACTATTGGCATTTCTAGAGGTTCCACAGCCACCAAACTCAGGAAATCCTGATGCCAAGTAAAAAGCACAAAAGGAACTAACTAATCCAAAAAACCATAAACACATAAGACGTAAGGCACAAAAGAACTTTCTACCCACTTTATCCTTGAATATCTTGTGGACTGCAGTATAAAATTTGCGAAAATCAATTCAACTAAGTTATAACAAATTGCCTGGAACCATACTAAGATGTGCTTACTACCAACCTGCTGGCCCCAATGGGTCCCAAAATCTTCACTTGGAGCAGTTGTCAATTCAATTTCCTGTTGAGCAGGATTCTGCATACTTCCCTAGTGACCAAAAAACGAGTGTTCTAAGTGTACTTTAATTACTATGCAGAAGTCCTGATCAGCCAAATGAAATGCCCAAAAAAAGAAGCTCTACTCACTCTAAAATGGACATCAAACCATCCAGCATAACCGCAGAACCTGGTATCTTCAGCAAAAATTGAAGTTGATATGCTTGCCCGAACATCAAGTATATCCGCAATTGTCGCTGTTAAACAATCTATTTCCTTTATAATGCCAGCTTCTCCAATAACTTGATTTGGGTGGAGGTTATTCCAGAGTGATGTCTAATAATTAATAACACATTTTTCAAGACCAGTTTAACAAGTATCATTTATTCAGTATTTTTAAAATGTTCACATGTTATTTATGGCAGTTTAGAAACTGATACTGATTTTCTGATTCTGCACCACACCTGTAAATAGTATTTCCTCTGCTCATCAGTGAACGGCTTTGTAAAGATGCTCATGTCCACACCATAGTAAGTTTTAGTCTCATCAACAAAATTGTACCAGTCATCAATGGTTCCATCGAAGTCGCTCATTTTTTGATTTGCTAATTTAGAGCTGATAGGTGCCAACCACATGCGAGCATGGCTTGGATACCTGAAGACCAGAGCTCAACGAATCAACAGTCTGCACCATGCAAATTGTGTTATATGAAGGGAAAGGGGGCATTTGAGTTATATTAGTAAGCCTTGTCAGTCACTCACACACATAAAGGTAGATACTTTTTACCAAGTTATTGAACTTATACCAAGTAAAAAGTCTTGGACTTATTTAACAATAAAAAATAATAATAAAAGAAAAGATAATGATATTTGATAGGGACATCTGCCCGGCTTCTACCCGCCTTTCTCTCACCTATCTTAACAAAATACCCTGCCAAAGCAATTCCCTCAACTTCAAACAGCCAACTACAAGTTTGTTTTCTTGGCCGCTAAAAGGATTTTCCATGGCTCACTTGTCGTACATAGATTTAAGCCTTTTAAGTTTCCATCAAATATTCACAAACATGTTCCAATCACAAGCTTCACTCCTTTGAAAGACACTAAAGACCCAGCAGTCTCCCTGTTTTTCCACTTACAAACCTAAGAAAAGGCCAGGCCCATGTGCAACAATTGTGATAGCCTCGCAATAATTTTGAGCTCAATAACTGTACTGCAGCAGAATTTCGTTTTCCCCTTTCCCTTAATCCTCATCTTTTACACCCTATAGACTACAATATTCTGCTGTGAAGTCAAGCTTCAAATAACCATTAAGAGTTCTATGGAGTATATGAAGTGACTTACTCAAGTTAAGCTTCAAAGCCCGTCACCGACATTGTGGCAACTAAATATCCATCTGTGAGGAAACATTACCAGAATCCATGTATAATAATTGGTGAATTTTGCAAAATTTCAAATTTAGCGGTGAAAGTTTGTTTGGTCAAGTTCCTTCATAAAGTGCTAACTAGCAAGAAACAATCAAAAATACCTAAAGATGGGAACTCTATAAAGGTAGCATTGCAATATCTCAATTTGGTTATCCAATATAATGGCAATTCTAGAAATCAATTTTACAGGTAAACACGTGACATTGTAGTATATGCAATATAGGAACTTTTTTTATCATTATTCCTTAAGAGCATAGCCATATTACATTTGTTACCAACAAAGAGTAAAATTAAGGGAGCAACACACTAAACGATTAGGTAGGTGAAAGTGAAACCCTCAAAAGTGACAATTTTTAAGCAAAATCAGCTAATGGAAATACTCACATAACTCCATCTGGCTTCAGCCAGCGGTCACGGGCACAAATTACCGAGTCAAACATTGATTCACGCAGAAGAAAGTATCCCATCCATTCTGAGATGATTACATCAACTAACCACCAAAACAAAATCCCCGTATAAGACTCATGTGCACTAGTAATATGAACACCAATGACATAAAATATGGCCAATACTAAGAAAAAAATTTAAAACCTTTCTCTGGAAGTGCAACATCTTCCATTGATCCTTCAACCACTTCAACTATATCCTGGAGCTTATTTGCTTTTACAAGTTCACGGGCATGTTGTGCCATCTTGGTAGCTTCCACTGCATAGACTTTCCTTGCGCCTGCTTGAGCTGACCATATTGCTAAAATGCCACTCCCTGTTCCTACATCCAGAACAGTCTACTCCGTGGATTCACCAATTTAGTCCTTGTCTCAACCAAAAGCCCCAATACAAATAAAGACAATGGTTGCAACGACTGAGTAACGATTCTCGACAAAAAAAAGAAATTACATTTTTTTAACATTTGGAAAAAAAAAAGCCACTAATATACACACTTCCTACACCTATCTTTGACACTTAAAGGGCGATCTTTCAAATTTTTACGTTTTCTTCTTTTTGTGGGTTCAATGTGTTTGGGATTCTTTTACAGGCTATATCTATTTTCACAAAGTAACCATTTTCCACCTTTTTCTTGATTAAACTTACCCATCATTTGTTGACAAATAAGTTCATCACTTGCCCATCAAGCTAATCCAACTTACGTACACAAGTCCACCGGCATGAAACTATATCAAAAACTTGTAAAAAAGAAATTGAATACAGTCTATGTTACTTGTCTTAGAACGACAACTTGATTCAAAGCGTCCTATTTCCCTCCTCCTGCTTCCTTCCCACCCCTCTCCTTCCAGAAAAAAAAAAAAAAATCTTTGAGAATACCGGATTAAAAAAATCCAAACTTTAAGCTTAATAATACCAAAAAAAAGCATATAATGCATACAAGAGGCGGAGAAAGAAGAGAAATAGGGGCTTGAAAACAGTCATACCTTTCCGTGGAAGTGGTGTTTGTTCTCAAAAACAGCATTGAAGTAAGCGTCCATGCGAACTCGGTCGGACAGCATCTCTTTCTGGTGGTACAGAAAGGCGTAGGTGCAGAAGTAGTTGGCGTAATCCACGCCCTTGTCCACGGCGGGGCCGCCTCCGCCGTTTACGGAGGTGGTGGCACGGTTGCTACCGCCTACTCCGTTAACCGAGTTACTCATCCTTCTCGGCAGGTATAAGCCTGAGAGACGGAGGGTACAGAGAATTTACTACTCCGTATGCTAGGGCAGCTCCCCCGCTATTAATATTAGCTCCTTGTTGGGAGGGAAGCAGTATAATTATAAACTACTCCATAAGTTGCAGTAATTTCTAAAACTTTTGTGTAGTGTACAATTTGTTTTTGGTAAATTTGGGTTTACTTAAATTAATCCCAACGCTTTTCTTTCGTCCTGAAAAAGTTGTACGTTTTTCTTAATTTGTTTACCGAAAGTTTGACGGTCAAGTTTTAGTGAACCTATTAATTTGTTTGTTTCTTTTGACAAAAAAAAAAAAAGTATAATTTGTTTGTTTAAATAACTCATTTTTATATCTGTCGCTACTTTAAAAAAAAAAAGTTTAAAAAGTGTCTATATTTGCCTTTTGACGTGCGTTATACATGGGGGTGTTTTATTTACTTAGCTGCATTTTATAGGCTTCAATGTATATTCGAAACCTGTAGTATACAGTCGAATTCTTCAAATAATGCATAACGATTTTTAATAGAGCATAGAAATTCAATCTAGCTTAGGTTAATACAGAAGTAGTGTTAATGTTACCCATTGATCCCAAAATAAGTAATTTATCAAAAGAAAAAATCATTCAAAACTTTTTCTTACATTTGAAATTAATTTCAATTGAGATGGGTTTCATTTACATTTGCTTTATTTTGAACTGAAAAATGTCAGGAAATAAACCTAGAAAACTTTACATAGATAATTTTGTAATGATACGACAAAAAAGAATCAGTTTGGATTGACCTACTTTCAAAAAAAAAAAATTTCAAATACAATGTTGCAATAATATATAAGAAAAAACAATTCAAAAAATATTTTATCCATATAATATATCAAAAGCAACTCACAAATATACACAAAAAATTAAAAAAAAATAAATTCTACAACATTTTCAACCTATCATCATCACCGCCTCCTTGCCCTCCCTCTTTTCCTCTCTTCCTCCTCCTCCCATCCTCTACCCCCCGCAGCCCTCCCCTCCCCCCTCAATCTGAGAGGTAGAGGAAGAGGGAAGGAGAAGAGGGAGGGGTGGTGGTTGTGATTGTGGGTGTCAGTATTAAATTTTAAAAAGGATCTTAAAAATATTTTAATCTTAAAACGTATCCCCAAATATATTTCAAAAACATCACAAAAAAAATCAATAATAAAAGTTTTTTATATACACTATTACAATAAAATATTTCAAAAATACTAAAAAAAAACAACTAATTCAAACAGAAATGTTTTATCGGGACAAGCACTTTAATGTTGTTTTGTAACAATTTATATGAAAGACAAGGGCAACAATTTATATAGCATAATTTGTCAAAAATTTTAAATATTATTTAACTTGTATTATAAATACAATTTCCAATCATCAAACTACCTCACATACATTACATTATATTATAAAAATATTAGAGCATTATTCTAAATAATTTTTTTTCGGATAATATCCTGTCCAAATACACGCAACAGATTCCTGTAAATCAATCTAACCAGTGAGAGATCCAGTGTGGCATTCTAAAATGGGCCAAATCTTAGAGTAAGGGGATGTTGGATTTGGGCCTCAATATATCGGTGTTACAAGTCCAAGATCCGACTATCGCATCCTAAAAGCTATTTGTACTTTTTCTGAAAGATTTTCTACTCTTCCGCTTGATGAAAGAATTACCAGCGGAGAGAAACGGCTCAACCTTCTTGCCACCATGCGTACGAAGTCAACTTCATTTTAAGGATCAGACTCACCAAATTTGTCTCTAAAAGTGATGTGAAACCAAATACGGAGTATTAGAAAAGAGAAGAGAAGGGGGTGTGAAATGATTACCCCATAGAGAAAGTACGAGTTCTTCTCACATGACAAGCCAGGATATTTTCATGGGACCTTTGCGAAAGTAGTGATGTGTTCACATTCCTTTTCTACAGCTTTAGAATTTACCCAAATGAGAAAAGATGATAAATAAAGGAGAAGTTACGTGCATGAATGACAGTCGCCTGCCTAGTTTATATGTTAAAAATTAACAAGAGGAACAAACGCATGAAGCATCGAAGTTGCAACTTTGCTAGAATTTTACGTACTATCATTTACTATAAGCTACAGAGTACAGCCTACAGGCCATGTGGTTTTCTGGCGTCAAAACTGTACCCGACCAATCAAGAACTAGAAGTCATATTAGATATCTCAACCAGTGAGAAAGCGCTGAATACAAATGAAGGGAAGACTGACTCGCTGAGCATCGAGCAACTTCTCGTTTTGACATTTTGAACCCTCCCTCGTATGGTAATACTTGTGATACAACGGAACTTTCCGGCATCCCCTCATCTCTATGATTCTTATCTTTCTACGATGTTACTATAATAATCTATTGGACTTTGATCCAATAGTGAAGAAGTCTTTTACGGTGCACTAGATCGAGGCACTGGGGTGGAAGTAGCAGTGCATTTGTAGTATAATCTGAAAGTTTACGTTTCAACCCTCTTACAAGTCTAGTTGAACTTTTCCTTTTCTAATTTCTATAGTATAGGAGTAATATAAATTATTTTTTCAATCCCAAAAAATATTAACTGATTGGTTGACTTCTTTCGAATCTTGCTAAATCGACTAAATTAGCAAATTAAACTTTCTTTATTTTTATTTTTTTTTTACTCACAAATTATGATTCCCACTGATAAACATATATAAAATGACCCTCATTCTCTTTCTTCTTCTTCTTCTTCTTTTTTTTTTTTTTTGGGTAATACGAAACGGTTGAATTAATAATCCATATTTGTTGTCACCACAGATTCAAAGAGGTGAATAAACCAATGCCGTTTGGTGACTTTCTCAAGCGGTCAATACTCAATACCATATATGTTTGTTTTGCATTCCTTCTGCGTCGCTGTCCAGAAAATTTATGTAATTGGTCAAAAAAGGATGGCGAAAATAAAAAAACCCTGGAATTCTTGTGATAAAAGGTTAACATAAAAAATGAAAAGTGAAACGCTATTATATGTTGGTCCTATTGTAGCATGAACTCCATGTAGTATTTAGTAGTCTCCATAGGGCCAAAATTAATTTTAAGTGATTAAAAAGAAATGTCTGCGCATTGTAGAGGGGAAAGATATTCGCAACGGATCTTCTGTCCCACACCCTGTGCCACTTTTTATTATATTGCTATTTCTCATTCATAAACATCATGTTTTAATTCTTTTTTGCTTCCTTAAGATCCAATAACTATTAATTAAGTAATACACAAAATTTAACAAACTCAAAAAATCAAAATGCATAAAAAATGAGATTTTTTATGAATTTCCTGCTGTATTTTTTAATTTTCTATTATATATTGCTTTTTTGAAGCTGTTATATTTATTTTTTACTTAATTAATAGTTATTGAATCTTAAGGAAGCAAAAAAGAATTAAAACATGTTATTTATGTAGGAGAAATAGCAATATAATAAAAAGTGGAACAGAAAATGGTACAGGGTATGGGATAGAAGATCTATTGCGAAAAATATTCCAACCACAAAAAATGGAAAAAAATGACGGAATGATACTCTACTCATTCCATTAGACCTGATCAATTAAAAAAAAAATTGAAAGAAATGATCGATTCTTTTGTCTTTTACTTCTTCCCAACTTTCAGATTATGGTTTCTATTCATTTTTAAACCAAGGTGCGCGCTTTTATTTATTTTTTTTTCTTTTTGATTATTTCCACTTTCTTTCTTCTCCAATCTCCTCTCTCCAAAGTCCAAATTAATTCAAAGGCAGACAGGCTAATCCTCATATTCCTCTCCATTCAGTTACTTTCGTTTACTTCCCTTTCTAGGCAGTTTCGTTTGCTCCACTTCAATTTATTGCTGCTAAAGAGGTTGACTAATATATTTTGATTGGATACACTATAAAGTTCCACAGTTCACACACGTAAGTATTTCGCATACATACGTACATAGAATAGAAGACTGGCAATGTGTTTATCAGCATGGGATGGGATCATGGGAGACGAAATAGGTGCATGACTTGTTCTTTCAAACCGTGTAATTAAGGGAATGCTGCGGTTTGGGCCCCAACCCAAGTTAAAGATTGATGGAGAATGGGGGAGACTGGTCTTTAATTTCCTAGGAAATGCGTTAATTACTATTCCTACTCCTCCTCCCGGACATGAATTTCCTTCCTGCCCACCTTTTTTTTATTTTTATTTTAACAAAGAGTAAGGATTAAGTAGTGGAGCATCAAAATTCAATAGCAAAGCCTGAAATTGACAAGAATGAGAATCTTGACCACTTCTCTTTACTCAGTAGATCAACAATGGAGGACAGAAAAGCATACATAATTGCTGTTTCGTTGGTTTCCGTTCTCACCATCTCTATCGTCGTTGCTCGTATCTCATTAAAGCTGTCCAAGACATTTTTCTTGGTCTGTGGAGCTAATATTGCGGCCATCCTTGCTGTTTTTTCGTTTCTTATAATCAGAAGAAGATACAATAACCGGAGAAAACTGTTGGAATCCCAGCTTGTATCAGAGGGGCGGGAGCTACGAATTGAGTACAGTTTTCTCAGGAAAGTCGCTGGAGTTCCAACTAAGTTCAGGTACAAGGAACTTGAAGAAGCAACGGATGGTTTTCGAGCACTATTAGGACAGGGGGCATCAGCTTCCGTGTTCAAAGGAATCTTGAATGATGGTACCCCGGTCGCGGTGAAGAGGATTGTTGGAGACGACAAGGGCGAAAAGGAGTTCAGATCAGAAGTTGCAGCTATTGCCAGTATCCAGCATGTAAATCTTCTTCGACTTCTTGGCTATTGTAGCGTACCATCGGGGCCCCGTTTTCTCGTCTACGAGTTTGTGTACCACGGATCATTGGATAATTGGATATTTCCAAGGAGGGAAACTCACGGCCGGCGGGGTGGTTGTTTGTCTTGGGACTTGAGGTGTAGAGTTGCACTTGATGTAGCTAGGGCGCTTTCTTATCTACACCATGATTGCAGGTCTTGCATTTTGCATCTCGATGTGAAGCCGGAGAATATACTCCTCGACGAGAGCTATCGGGCACTCGTGTGCGATTTTGGACTCTCGAAGCTAATGGGAAAAGAAGAAAGCAGAATTGTCACGACGATTCGGGGAACTAGAGGCTATCTGGCCCCGGAATGGATCTTGGAGAACGGAGTATCTGAAAAATGCGATGTTTATGGTTTCGGCATGGTGCTCCTGGAGATTATTGGAGGGCGAAGAAATGTTTGCACGATTGAGGACGAAAACGAGAGGAGGAAGAAAAAGTTTGAGTGTTTTGCGAAAATTGCGATTGAGAAACTGAGAGAAGGGAAGCTGATGGAGATAGTTGACCAGAGATTGGTGCTAGCAGGAGGAATAGATGAGAGGCAGGTGAAGAGATTGGTTTGCATAGCATTGTGGTGTATTCAGGATAAGCCTAAGGTCAGGCCGAGTATGGGGCTTGTGGTGGAAATGCTGGAAGGCCGAGTTCCAGTGGATGAGCCGCCTGAAAATACCCAAGTTCTCATCGCTGACTTGTTGTCAGCTGAAGATGGAGGGTCAACGAAGCCCGACCGTGGCAGGCTTTTTGCTGCAATGGATAATGCAATCATCCCATCAACAGCGGCCTATTCTTCTATAGGATCAGTTCTTTCAGGACGGTAGCGCTACTGAATCTCGCCGCAGCTGGTTCCTTTTACTTTCTTTACACAGATTCATTGACGCAGGCATCTTTTTCTTTGACCGAGTATAGTGTACTTTACTTGCTGTCCAGTTCTTGAGGAGGTACAAATTTTATATGATCATTCATCGTGTACTTGCTGTCGGGCTCCGGTGTAAATAGACGATAAAACGAAACAATTCTCTGATTTGACTTGTAACTAAGAAAAGTTCATGCCGAGGATTGCTGTTTGGTCTGGTGTTTACCTCCGTATGGTGTTTTCCTTTCTGCAGTGCAGGGGCAAGAGTTGACTATCAAGTCTATGATGGTAGTATTAGATAAAAAAAAACCATCTCATTGGCAAGCATTGATATACTATTTTATTTTTTTTCTGAAAACAGTAGTGTGTATATTTTCAATTGATATCAACTAGTAGTAGTCTTCTTCATAGAAGTAGAATAACAGCATTGAAATGTTAAAGAATAAGATCAGTCTTATCAAGTAAATTAATAAGAAGGATAGGGTATGTTTTTTATATACTGGCCTCAGCTCCCAACATGAACAAGTCGAAATTTCCATCTTGCAGGCTTGGCTGTGAGCTTTGTGTTTTATATATATATAAAAAAAAAAAAAAACAATTTGCATTTTTCTATTCTGGGTTTGTGCGGGTAACTTGAAAACATATCAAATTTAAATTAGTAGAAGAGGGATGATAAATTGTAGATGATGAGACATGCTAATCCAAATAAATAAATAATCATGAGCCACTCCAATTCACAATTGCAAACTATTTGTACTTGTCAAGTTTTCCGTAAAAATATTTCTAAGTTGTGATTTCTTTCTTCTTCTTAAAGTCTTCTTTTATTATTTAGCATCAAAGTAATTTTTATATTAAAAAAATATTTTATAAGTTAATTGCATGCACAATACATACTAGTGTTCAGGAAAGCGGAACTTAATTGTCAACTTTTTTCCACTTTGCATTCCTCAAGTGTAAACAAATGGAGAAAAAGAGAAAAGAAAAAAAATTGTGGCCCTTCGTGTTGTCTTCCTCCTCCTCTTTTTGACTTTGAATGCAGCCTCCACAACCGAATCTAATCTCTTTTTTACCTTAAATTCTCTGAAGTAAAAGAAATGAGGACGATAAAAATAGAATTAACCTGAACATATTTGATGAGTGCTCTTGAATTTAGCTTTTGGGGTTAAGGCGCATATTTTCAAAGCCATTGAGAATGTTGACTTACGATGCGAGGGAAAGTAAATACTAGACAAAGGCAGTAGAAAGTAGAAACATGCATTATAATTTCCTAAATATTCATGGAAATAGAAGAAGAAAAATAGAAAAATTGAGAAGACAAACAGGCCTGATTTTAGACAAGCACTTCGAGTTGGAAGCGTCTACAAGTTTAATCATATCCAACGTCTTGATATATCAAACTTATTTGATTATTTTAACAAATTTAAAATTTTGTTCAAATTTGACTTATTTATTTGCTGAACCTAATTTAAACAATTTTTTTTTTATCAAATTTGAAAGTTATCGAACATAATACATTGATCGAGTTTGGATTCATTAGTTGTCAAATCAAATTCAAACAAGTCCTTGCTAAGCGAAACTTGATTCAAGTATCGAGTTATTTAGTTCATCTTTCAACTCTACTTTCAAACGTGGCACATCTTTCATGAATTTTGATGTGGTTGAGCTTGGATTGAACAGTAGCCGGAATTGAATAATTTGTTGAATATGGGCCAAAAATAAATGAAGCCTAATTAAGGTCTTGTTTGGATTGCATTTTTCTGGATTTTTGTCGAAAAATTACTATAACGATTTGATATGTGTGAGATAAAAAAGTGATTTGAAAATGTGTTCACGGAAAACGTAACATTTTTTTTTTTTTGGAAAATTGCTGTCCAAACAAGGCCTAAATTATTGCAAGTAATATTTGCATTCTAAAAATAGTTTCTTGTACTTAACTCTAACATTTTATCATTTGAAGGAAGGTGAAGTGCTAGATAATTATTTTCGGAGTGCGAATATCATTATTTCCATAATTACTTTCTAGTTTTGGTTATACGTAGTGAGCAATGGTGGTGAATTTTTAAAAAAATTTTTTTTTTTTGTTGTTAATATATTTGATGAAAAATCATTAACCAATTTTTGGTTTCGTGTTGTAGGGAGACTCTAAATCTTATGCGGGGAGGGCAGAACAATAGGCAAGTAATGATTGTTTACCTAAGGTCTTAATGACAATTAAATATAGGGTAAAATACACGGAACCCCCCTATGGTTTCGCGAAAAGACACGAAACCCCCCTATCGTTTAGAAACATACACATAAACGCCCTAAACTTGATAACTAAAGTGAAAATAGACCTATAACCGGCTAAGTTACCGGCTGCAGGTCGAATATCCAAAATACCCCATTTCTCTCCTGCTGCCCCACTCTCCCCTATGCGGGCCGCTCGCGACTCTATCCCCGTCGGCAGCTACAATCCCTCCGAGTTTGTCGCTCCCACGGTCTCAGAGTTCACTGACGATGCTCTCTCCCCTAATTGGACTGCTCGCCGGAGCAATTCTGGTAAATTTGCTTCCTTCCTGCCAGCTGGTGGATTTGATATGTCATCCCTTAAACAGAATAATTTCCCGGCTAGTAGTTTAACCACCGTCTCCATTGTCAACATGCTCCCTGGCGGTGAACAGGGTCCTTCCATCCTTCCCCTGGGTAAAGAGTAGAGCGGCGAGGATGCCTCCTGCGCCGGCGCCGGCGGCGACGTCGAAGAAGTCAGCAACGCGGCCATTTGGGTTTCCGGATTTGCGGCGGAGGGTGGCCTCCAGGTGTGCCAGAGACTTGGCAGCAAGAACGCCGTCGGTGGAGCCACCAGCATCAATGGAGAGGATTCGGACTTTGCCGCGGCCGCCTGGGAAGTGCTTGGTGCTGAGGGGAGAAGCAGCAGCAGTAGCGGCAGCAGTAGCAGGAGGAGTAGTATTAATTTTGGGGAGGTGGGAAACGAACTTGGGATCGTCGTACCCAAAAAGGAACTTGTTTTCGAGGATGGAGAAGAATTCACAAGTGAGTTTGTCCACGTCCATGTTGCACTCCAACTGATGAAGCTGTGGTGGTGGTGGATACTGCAGCTGCCGCCATTATCTCTTTCTTCTTGTTTGTGGATATTCTTGTATTGGAGGGGAGGGGACTGACTTAGGAGTGATTAATGTAGTACTTGGTTCTACGTTTAACGTAAGACTGAAATCGCCTCAACAAATATTAATGGTTCAACTGGCTTAGCTAGCTCCTAGCTATATCAATGGGGAAGGTCTGCATTTGGTATATCAAGTTCCAGTTTGATTTTTTTCTTCCAAGTCCTGTCAAAGGTTTCCGTGTACACTTAGAGTGCTTTTGATTCAAAGTTCAAGGCAAAGCTTTCAAGCTTACGTTTCGTTTTTGGATATACATTGGATTGTCAATTCCTACTAATTTAGCAAGCCACGGGTTAGACGAGAGTATTTGACCTGCTGCCGGTAACTCAGCCGGTTCAAAAGGTAATTTCCACTTTAGTTATGAAAGTTAGGGTGTTTATGTGGAGGTTTTTAAACGATAGGGGGGTTTCGTGTCTTTTCGCGAAACCATAGGGGGGTTCCGTGTATTTTACCCTTAAATATAACCTATCATGTTACCATCATTTTCTCACAGATTGAAAAAGAATCTGAGTTTGGCCCAGTTCAATCTCTTCCCGGGGTAATGATGCTGTGACACTGGATATTTTATTTTGACTCACAGCCCAACTGTGAGGCCCAAACCCAATACCATCTCTGTCTCTCTCTCTCTCTCTCTCTCTTAAATTCTAGTGAGACGGCCTGCGCGATGCGCAGGGGATTAATATTTTCCGTGTTAATTATTTTTTGTTATATGTGTTTATTAGTATATATTTCTGTTATTATTTAATTCATGCGGATCATTAAGAAATTATAATTTTTGTTAAAAGTTAACTGTTGTGAAATATATAGAATGCATGAAAACAATAATATATAGAATGCATTAGGGCGCTTATATAGAATGCATAAGGATAAATTAGAAAATTGTATAAGGTTATTTTGCATTTGGATTAGGATAATTAGAAAATTGTAAAGTGAATCATTTCCAAAGAGTATTAATCATTGTTGATACAAAAATAGGGGATCCCTAAAGTCAATTAAGCATTTGAACCATAGAACTTGACATTGCTAAAAATTAATCACCACATGTCACAGTAATAAAACCCATTTTTTAAAGTTACTAAAGCCAACAATAGTTTATTAATTGTTTCCTCAATAATTGTGCATTTACAGAGCACTTAACAATTTTATTCCATGTCAAGCCAACAATAATTTATTAATTGTTTCCTCAATAATTGTGCATTTACATAACATTTATCAATTTTATTTCATGCCACAATAATAAAAACCATTTTTAAAGTCACTAAAGTCAACAACAATTTATCAATTATTTCCTAGGTAATTTTGCATTTCCAGAACATTTCAAAAGCAAATAATTAACCACAAAAAATCAACTTTCATAGGTTTCACTTTTTACACCACCAATTATGAATTTAGTCAACATGTCCGATAAATGCACCAAAACTATAGCAGCTATTAAGAAACAAACAGACAATTGATGAAAATGGTCCTAACATCCAATAACAATTGCAGGATAACCGCTTGACAAAACAAATACTATGCACAGGGCAACTTTTCCTTTTATATTGTTAGATGTGTATATCTCTATTAGTCACTAAGTTCAATAAATATAGGCCTATTTCTTTTTCCATTAATATTAGAACATTAATCCACGGTAAAAGACATGTATTATTACATTATTTTTCAAATTTAGAGTACTTTAATTTTCAAATGTAAGAAATAATCTAATTAATGTTACATGTTTAAATAAATAATACAACAAGATTAGCACACAACATCGCTTTTCAATTTACAGCAATTTAGAGCCATTAGAAAAAACAAATATGTTAAAATTTTTATAATAATTATATATACACTAAACATGGATATATTAGTAAAATAATAAACTAATTATTCTTTTAAAAAGGAAATAGACCCATAATCTAGCACACATAAAAGACAAAAGTAAGCTCATATTTATAGAATATATATTTATAAAATGAAAAGTATAATAATAAAAATAAGGGAATTAAAAATTTTCCAATAATTATATAGACTAAATATGTATATATAGACTAATATATATCTGTCTAATTGTACGTTGGGAAAAATTATAGAATTAGAAACCATTTTTAGTTGAAATCTATGGCATCTTAACCGATTTTGCTTACTTATGTGATGACAATGTTGGACTTGTTATTTTTTCTCTCTGGCTCAAGAATTACAGTATAACCACTTGACCAAAATGAAACTATTCACTATCCAA